GTGGGGTGCTGCGGAACTCCCGAAAAATGAAAACCACAACAGCGAGAACACTTGAACAAGACTGAACCTTACTCTATTTGGGAGCCTCACTCACTATCCTCTGCACCATGAATTACATGTTCGATAAGCAGTCAAATCGTTAACGAGACAACAATCGTAGAAGAGAACACATCAAAGTTCTGCGGAAGTACTTACATGCCAAAATGCTGCGGAACCTCTGGCATTTTTCGGGATTTCCGCAGCGTTTTGTAAAAAGCCCTGCGGAGATTCCCGTCTTCAGCTCTTTAACCACCGTGAAAATCCTGCGGATGTTCTCATTTCCAGCGTTTCCATTTTTTCAATAGTAAACAAAGCCCTCCGGAATTTGTGCAATTCTGGCTTGTTTGCGGAAGTTCCGGTCAAGTGTCTGAGTATGTGAATCGAATTTTCTATTTTCTAGGCTATTGACCGTGTGTCCGTGAGAAACGCGGTAACTCTGCAGCGCTGCGGAGGCAACTTCTACAATGTAACAACCACGGAAGACCCTGTGATTGAAGAATTAGCCCAGCAAGGAATTGGTAATGTCTTTGCCACTGACATAATATTGGCAACTTTGATGACTGCTCCACGATCGGTAAGGATTGAGCAATTTCTCCTAATTACGGGAGAGTTTATCGAACTTCTTCAGGTGTACTCGTGGGATATTGTTGCACATCGAGTGGGAGACAAGCTGTTTTTGGATAAGAGAGATACTGGTGGTATCTCTAACCCAGTAGATGCTCTGACAGTTTCGGAAACGAGCGGTGATCCACCATCTTTTGAAGGCCAAAGTATAAATAATGCTAAGGTTTGTGATAATTCATAAACATTTCTTCCCAGGATTCTCAGATTTCGGGAAGCGTATAACTCAATTTTTAGGATCTTGCCACGGAAGCACTGTTCATTAACCAGAACTTCCGCCGCCAGGTGCTGAAACGGTCCGAAAAACCATATGTCATGGCTCATCCACGAGCTCCGTTCGAGGAAGAAGATGGAGAATCCGGATGTGGATATCGGTTAGCTTGTGTATTTTGCTTGTTTTGCCCGAAAGAAAACTGAACCTTTAGGTATCGAAAGTGGACCTTAGGGAAAAATGCGAACGGCAAGCCGATAGAAGTTGTTTGTCGTACAGAGCATGATGGCGTTATGGTGTGTTATTTTAATTGAATGCGTGTTTTTAATCTGCTACTAACTTGTGAGGCACGCGATACTTGACCAACCATCCGCTTGATTCA